TAGTGTTGACAATTTTCTGTTTTTATTGGTTTCACACAAAAATTATCAGCTATATATAGAGAAAAGAAAATGATTAATATCAAATTTCTTTTTTTGCCATTTACTATTGTAAGAATAGTAACTGATTATCATATTCAATTTATTATAGTTATTGTACGGTATGTAGTGAATAATCTAGTTCCACACGGGTTCACATTCCGTGCCCAAAGTGCCACGGGAGTTAAATATGAGCCTGTAACTGAGTTATTCATATAATAACCATCTTATTGCGCGGTGTTTGACGTACAATCTCGTGAAATAACCAAATGAAAAAAGCACGGGTTGTTACTTAAGACCCTTGCAGTAAATAAGGCTATTTTATTTATTTACAGGTATAACTGTCAAAGTGAGTTAGAAGGAAAATAAAGAAGGCCGCAAAAGAATCTGCACAATATAGAACTTAAAGTAATTAAATAGTTATATCCAAATACAAAAATTTTTCACAGTAAAAGCTACGATTTATTACTCTTGAATTTATGTACAGCACATAATAAAGCATACAATCTTTTCACACTGAAAGAAATGGCTTAAAAGTAATAAAATCAAAATTTATCCCAATATAAAGAGTGGTAAAAGGGTTAAAGCAAGTAAAACATCTTCCAAGAAATATGGGACGGACAAAATAAGCACATTTTTTACTAACGATGAATTGAGAATAACCTTGATCAGTTAAAAATTTCTGTTGGAACTTTTTACAAAATGACAAGTTTTAATATTGATCCCGACCTGCTACAGTTAATATAATTCGTTCAACTTAGTTTGATATCATTAAACAGTCAACTTTTGTTAGTCTCATTTACTAAAAATAGGTTAATAAAAATGCTTATATTAAGTTTGCATATATGTGTCGTTTAAATTATGTGATGTATACTTAGATGATTTGTTATGCTAAGTGGGTTACTAATCGGTGTATGGCAGTAAATAATTTAAAAAAAGTTTTTACGGTGTGAATTATATGTATTCTTATTTGAAAACATCACATACCTAAAGTTCCATCGATCAACAAGACTCACTGCATTTGTGTGACGCTTTACTCTTTATTGAAACCAAAACATTCCGCAAAACCTAACCATTAATCAAATATTTGTTGCTCAAATGTTTGATTATTGAGGAGGTTCATTTATTATTCAAATTGGAATGGCTTAGAATAAGTTTATTATGCGTTAAGCAACCAAACTCATTATTCAAATAAAACAGAACAAAAAAATTTATCCGACAGATAATTGGATAAATAGTATTTAACATGTGGAAACTTATGGCCACGGATTTGTCTCTTCTGTGTCATAACAAACATAATAAACTCAAATTAAAGTTCAGCCAATGACAACTTGCAAAACATGATCATGAACAGAATGAAGGATAATCATATATCCGTATTATTAGTAAAATTCGGATTATCTGTTCATACAGATAAATTGGCCATATCACTATTTACTAAGGCTCACTTTTCTCTTCCCGAGATATTTGGATATTCTGATTTGTGCTTTATATTATTGCTCTTTAATTTCTTAAATTCATTAAATTAATTGAGTCGGTAAAGTAACATGCAATTAGTAAAATTGAAGCAATATTATAAAAAATTAAATAGATAAAGGTGATTAAATTAATTAATTTCTTCCATATTTATGAAAGATATGTAAGCGACCATGCTTATCTTCAATAAAGATTAAGCTCAGTATCTTGGACAAAGTCTTCACTCTACTAATTCCTTCCTACGATTAGTAGAAGCTTAATTGTATAGTACTGTATAATCCGTGACGCAATCTAGAACTCTAATTGACATTAGTTACAGTACTCATACCAATCCTTTTCATGCCTTAATCGAAGACTTTCATTATCAGGATTAGAATAGATTGGATAGTTTTAGTGTATATTTCAAATTTTATCATTGTTCATGTTCCGACCCATTTCTGCTCTGGATGCCATTTCAACTTTTTCAACGTACTACATTGTATTTCCCAGAATGATTAGGACACTGATTATTAGTAATATTGATCTTGGATTTATAGGTTTTCACTTGGCATCACACATATATAGTTAGAACTGAGATTTGTTTATCCCTTCTCATCCTATAAAATTAGTAACACGAATACTCAAGTTATGAATAGTATAAATAACTGATTGTTAAGTCACTATTTTATTAGCTTACGCTATCTATAGCTATGCTCTATTTTAGTTCCTATCTTTTCGTTTTTCTTTTAAATATTATTTTTACCTTTGCTTTTATACCAATTGCAAGATATGATCATTCTTCAGTTCTTATTAATAGGAAACTCTATTTTAGTGGAGGATTATTTTCTAATCCTCCTAATCTTTCTACAAGAAATAATACTAATTAATTCTTTTACTTAGATGTTTCTAAACCATTTACAATAAATGATAGTACCTCAATGCCTTGGGTTGACCTTACCTATACAAATGGTCCTCAAAAAGATTTAGCTACGGCATGTACTGGTGGACCAAATAATGATATGTTATTTATTTTTGGTGGTATTGCTACTGGTAATCAATCATCTGTTAATAAATTTGATATAAATAAACAACAATGGATTAATATCACAGCTCCCGGGAGTGTACCAATTAGGCATGATATTTCATGTGCAAATTTTAATAATGGTTTGGTTGCCATTTTTAGTGGTTGGAACTCTCCAAATGATCTTTGGATATTTAATACATTGACATTATTATGGAGTTTAAGTAATGCAACAAATGCTCCAATATCTCGTGGTGCTTATTGTGCAATAACTTTGCCTAATGACAATATTTTATATATTGGTGGATATAATGTTACTAGTTCATCATATATGCCAATGGATATTGTAAGTGTTTATCCTTTGATAAACCAATTTCCTAGCCTTTGTTTAATAATGTTTTTATAGTTACCGTTATATAATACAACTTCTGACACGTGGACAAATATGGTATGTAATAAATTTAATCTTA